TATATATCTCAAAACACAGTACACAGTTTGCTTTAGGCTGAGTTTCCTCCTCCTCGGATTCAGGAGCAAGTCAGAGCATAAATATTTTGTTTCACTTTAGAAGTGTTGCCCATTTCTAGGTATAGGACCAAGTTTATTTCTGCTGCAAAGTCACCATAGTAAAAATGATTAGAATTCCTAGTAATTGGCATTGGACTTTCTTCTGGAAGGATCACATCTTCTTTCCTCTTAGGAAGGAAATGTGATGAGAAAGTTCAGCTCAGATGGTGAACCAGCTCCTCTTTCATAGTTCCTCTTGACAAAGCTGGTGACATCACTCCTCCAGGAGAACCACAGAAAGGATGACAGGAGCAAATGTGTCAAGGCAGTGTGTTTTTTCCCCTCCACCAAATGCAGGATCTTCTTAGCATGTAATACAAGGCAACATCCATCTTGGGCATATTTCAAAGACTTGGCTAGGGCTTAATCACCCATTCTGCATGAGGATTTACATGATACACATCCAATATATATGCATCAGGATCCAAGCAATGTTGTCCTAAAAGAGAAAATCAAAGAATGCTTCAAGAGCATACCCACTGGTTTAAGGAGAGAGCTCATCCAGTAAAGAGCTTGCTGTGTGAGCATGAGGACCCGAGTTCTATCCCTAGGATCCATGTTTAACAATAATAATAAAAAACAACAAAACCTCTGGGGCTTGCTTACCAGCTAGCTTAAGCCTATTTGATGGATTCCAGGTCAATGAGAGACCCTGTCTCAAAAACTAAGGTGGACAGCTCCTGAGGAATGACACTTGAGGTTGTCCTCTGATAACCACATGCATGTGTATATATGTACACACAAATATGTACACACAAATACACACACATACAAAAGTGTACCTTCTGCAAGTGCCTATGAGTGTGCATTTATGTATTTGTAAGCATCAAATGTAGTCAATAATTTCAGCAAAAGACATATATGTTATATATATGCTTTTAAAATTGCTTGGAAAAGCCTCCCTCTCCTTCCTTCCTTCCCATCCCTTTTCTCTTCCCCTTCTCCCTAAGCCTATGAAGTAATTCATATAAATCTTATATGAAATTGTGGAAAAGATAAACTGCCAACATCACAGGCTTATTGCTCCCTACTTTCATCACATCAGTTAGAGTAAAAGGATGAGAACTTGTTCCAGGTTCAAGATGAGTATCTACATTTTACTATTATGTGTCCCTCCAGTGGTTGAGAACAGGGTAAGAAGATTCTTTTAGGAATGGCCATTTTGTTGCTTTCCTAAGGAAGTAACTGGCACTACTCCAGTCTCAAACACTTCTCCTGGGGGTGCTTAGATAGTAAATAAAAGTAAATAAACATGTACAACATGAAGTAAGTTGGGTGAGGACGAGACTATTAGGCAAAGCAGGGAAGGAGAGGGTATGTGGTCCAGGAAGACATCATAGCAAAGATGTGGAAGAAGGAAGCAGGAGGTGAGGACAGCTGAAGGGAGGACATCCTAGAAATCAGCAGATGCCTAGCATCCAGCCAGCGTGCCTCATGACTGGATGCACAACTCTGGGGTCCAGGGAGAAGACTGGGAAGCCAGTTTGAGAAACGTTAGCATGCAGGTGAATTAAAAGCATGGATGGACCAACTGAAGAAGCTGTGCTTAAACAACCCAGAGCTCCAAGGACTGCATAACAGCCTTCGAGCTGAGAGGTAACAGGGAGAGACTCAAAAGTGATTTTCAGATGGGAAAAGATCAAGTCAGGCAATTACCAAGATGGAGGGAACTGAATGGACTTCAGCACGCAAGTTTTCTGGTGACCTGGATGTTGGGATGATGTTGAAGTGTTGACAGGGAAGCTTGACTGGAGTGGTTTCAAGAGAGAAGAAATGGGAGGAGAGACCTGACTGAAGAAGGTTTGCTGTAAAGTGGAGTGAGATGGAATGGAGAAATGGGAGGGGACTTGAAGGGGTCAGGCAAGTTTTCTAAAGAGGAGAGAAATGGCTTTTTTATTTTTTTCCATATTTTGAGACAAGTCTTACTGTGTTGCCCAAGGTGATCTAAAATTCATGATCCTCTACGGTTTTAAGCTTCTCTAGTGTTGAGATTACTGACACACCACATGAGGGAGGTAGTGATGTCCACATGGCTGCCTGCTTAATACTGCCCTGTCACTGGCCACAACTCTCTCTATTTAAAAGAAGCCATTTCATTTCTGCGTTTGCTGAGAATTGAATGCAATTCCTCTTCAGCCCATACCACAGTCCTAAACTCTCAGTGCTTTGAAAAACATCTAAGGGTGGAACTGATCCAGTTGGGAGGGAAAAGCCGAGGGTGCAGAAGAGAAGTGAGGCCTGTGTAGAACAAGGCCCCGATTGGGCAGGAGAGGATGTCTCTGAGAGACACAGAGATGAGGCACTGGCCCCAATGAGAACACAACATAGAGAGCATGTTGCTCAGAGGACACAGACAAAGGCACAAGCAGTGGGAACTTCTGACACACGCTCACAGGGAAAGAGCGGGAATGAGCTTAGGCTGTGAGCCAGAACGGGGAGGCTAAACAAAAGGGTGGTATGCTCAGAAGCTCTTGGTTCTGCTCTGTAGTATGTGAGTCTGGCAAAGGAGCCACATTTCAAAGGCCCCAGTCCACTCCATCTCATTTTAATTTTGAGACTATCATAGCTATGTCATGCAGCTGTTCTTATGAGATTACAAAACTCACAGAAACTTAGCGGGTTTTACTTTTATCTAAGTAACTCATTAAAAAAAAATCACTTCTACACTAATAGCAAGAGATTTCTGTTCAAGTCATCAGAGAATACGATGGTAGAAATTATTGAAGAATGCTTACCTATATTTCCTCCAACTTCATATAACCTTTGGTTCTGCATCTTAATACATTCAGATGAACCATGACTAAAACATTTAAAGAGAGAGAAGGCAAATGATTTAGGATTTTTTCAAGATCCACGGTAATTACAAACAATTTACCCTGTCTTGGTGAAATATACCCCACAACACTTTATTATGACTGAAGTTATGATAATAGGAGTATAAGAAGATAAATTCAGGAGAGGTGGGAAAAATTCCCAACCAGGAGGGGATGCTCAGCAGCCACAGCAACAGAGAACAAATTCTAGCCACATGCCAGCACCGCATGAAAGATGGGGTGACTTCCACATGGGACTGTCTGCTTAACACCGTCCTGCCACTGACCACAGCTCTCTCCAAGCAGAATTTCATTTCTGTTTGTTGAGAATTGAATGCATTCCCTCTTCAGCCCATGCCACAGGTCTAAGCTTCCCTAGTGCATTGAAAACCACCTAAGGTTGATTTCTTTGCAAGTCTCTGCTCTACAAGAAAAGGAAGTCAGAGAACGTAATTGCCCAATCAATTTTTCTATCCTGGTCAAGAAGGCTGGGGTAGGAGAATGCGAAAGATCAGCGCCAATCTTCATAGCAATTCAGGAGTGATTTTGAGATTGGCTTCTTGGGATGGTCCTTCACCTCTGCTGAGAGGAGGAAGGTTGCATGCCCTCGCCCCCGTAGTTAAGTAACTTTTTAGCTGAAGCAATTGTCAATTTGACTATCATTTTGAGAAATAATGCACACAGATCCTGTGTATCCTTTACCTAGTTTTTCCTAATAAAATCTTGCAAAACTCAATTACGATTTCATGAAAAGAATGTGGACATTGATTCGGTGACCCCAGGACTCCCACTGTGGCCATTTTATGGACACATCTCTCCCCTTTTCCTTTCTGTTCCTACCCCTATCCTTAAAGCCTGGCAATTGCTACCCTAGTCTGTATTTCTGTCAGTTCATTTCCCAAATGCTATACAACTGGGGACACACAGTTCAAAACCTTCTTGTATTGACAGTCCCACTCAGCACAAATCTCTAGAGACTTAGGCAAGGCCTTTCACTTTTATTGCTGCATAGCACACGCTGGTATGCACCTATCAACATGACACAAATACGGCGGCTTTATTTAAACAAAGCTAGACAAAACCTAGCAATCCTTCAAGTGATGACTAAGCTGTGATAGGTTTCCTCTTCCCAGATGTGTCAAGTTGACAGCTGAAAGTATCCAGCACACCTACATACCTTAAAATTCAATTCAATTTATTTAAACTGTGGTAAAATACCCATATTGCAAAATTTGCCATCTTAGTATTTGTTTGGTTTTAAAGTATTTCGATATTTACATGTTATTGATGTCTACTTTGATTCTTTTATGGTCAGAGTATGATTTTTTTAAAAAATATTTTATTTATTATCTTTATTTTGTGTGTATGTGTGAATTGCCTGCATGTAGGTAAATGCATCGATGTCATGCAATGCCTGCAGAGGACAGAAGAGGCTGTCGGATCCCCTGGAACTGGACAGTTGTTAGCTGCCATGTGGGTGCTGGGATTCAAACCCGGGTCTTTTAAAGTATTTCGATATTTACATGTTATTGATGTCTACTTTGATTCTTTTATGGTCAGAGTATGATTTTTTTAAAAAATATTTTATTTATTATCTTTATTTTGTGTGTATGTGTGAATTGCCTGCATGTAGGTAAATGCATCGATGTCATGCAATGCCTGCAGAGGACAGAAGAGGCTGTCGGATCCCCTGGAATTGGAGTTATGGACAGTTGTTAGCTGTCATGTGGGTGCTGGGATTTGAACCTGGGTCTTCTGCAAGAACAGCCAGTGCTCTTAACTGCCGAACCATCTCTCCAGCCCCCCAGAATATGATTTTAATTATTTTAAATCAGTTTGCTTGATGACCCAGGATATGGCTTGTCTTTTAGGCTTCTATCTCAATTTATCTGTGGTGTTTCTCAGTATATTCCTTTGTAGGTAGTCTCTATGGGTATTATAAAATGTATATGTAGTACAACACAGTCCAGTTATTGGTATTTATCACTCAGTGACATGCACAAGCCTTATTCTTATTTATTCTTTACCTTCATACTTTAAAATTCAATTCCATTTGTTTTTTAAAATACATATGCATAAAGCAAAATTTATGATTTTAACAATTTAAAGCTTACAGTTCAGTGGTATTAAATGCCATCATAATGCTGTACAGCAATCAACAGAACTCCAACTGCAGAACTCATTTCATCTTGCAAAACTGAAACTGTATGCCTGTTATTAAACAGCAATTTCCAGTTCTTTCTTCCATAACCCATTAACCACTATTCACTTTCTGCCTATGATTTTGAACTCTTCACCTTATAAAGGTGAAGTCACATAATATTTGTCTTTTTGTAATTGATACCTGTTACTTAGAATACTGTCCTCAGCCCAACCCTAAGTGACACATCTATAATGGAACCTCTACACCTAAGGCTCATGGAACACAATGGGACAAGGGGTAGAGAGAATATTAATGCATCTTTCAACTCTCATCAGGGAGGGTTCCTCATGCAACAGAAGGCGATGAACACAGAAGGCCACACTGGCCAAAGTGTAGAGAACATGAGACTGCAGTGTGTGTCTTTGGATAGGACTCCTATGTTAAACTTCACCCACCCAAGACTCAGGGACTATTGTGGTAGAAGGTGCAGAAAGATTGTAAGACTCAAATAAAAACCACCTAGCCATCTCTCCATCCCCAGTGGTTCTATTTTTCACCCATTCTGATTTTCTCCTTTCCTTTCTAAAGTTCTTCCAAGCTTCGTTACCATTTCCTTTCTGTTTTGAGAGCTTCCTTAGCCATTATTTATGGGGAGCCTTGCTGAATACAGAATTCATAGTTGAGGGACCAGAGAGATGGTTCATCAGTTAAGAGCACTGACTGCTCTTTTGGAGGACCTGGGTTCGATTCCCAGCACCCACATGGAGGCTAACAACTATCCCTAACTCCATTTCCATGAGATTCGATGCCTTCTTCTGACCTCCTTGGGCCATTGCATGACACGGGTTCACTTACACACATGCAGGCAATACACTTATACACATAAAATAGAAATAATAAACTGATCAATTTAAGTAGGTTCCTCTTATCATTTGAAAATCCCAAGGCAAGTTGTTTACACTTGATAAGCATTCCTAGACAAAAATGATGACAGATGCCCTTTTATGTTACTTCTGGCGAATATAAGATGAGAACTGAAGGTTTCATTTGGATCCTAGGGCTAATTACTAGCATATTCCATTTTTATTTTTATATGTGTATGAGGGTTTTGTCGGCATGTGTGTTAAGTGCACCATGTGTGTGCCTGGTGCCTGCAGAGGCCAGAAGAGGGCACTGGATCCCCTGGAACTGGAGTTTGGATGGTAGTGAGCTGCCAGGTGGGTGCTAGAACTGAACCAGGGTCCTCTGTAAGAGCAGCCAGTGCTCTGAGACACAGAGCCATCTCTCTAGCCCCAATTACTAACACATTTGAAAGAAGTGACAGCAGTGGTATCCAGGGAGCCTAGATGACACTAACTGGAAATTGGTAAACTATTGACAAATTTAACTGCCATATTTTTCATTCTAGGAAAATGTAAAACGTATTGAGTAAATGAAGTTACCAAGACAATACTTACAAAGAATCCTGTGTAGAGGAATTCCTTTACAAACCAGCCTTTGTTAGCTATCATTCTATTGTTTAACTAGTCTCAACTTTTAACTTTGAAATCTCCTTGTAAATTCTTCAGAGTAACAGCTGCAATTGTTCAAAACCCACATTTGTAGGAGTGAGTTACCTGTCAGGGATAGCTCATCAACATGTTAGTGGCCTTCAGTGAGGGGCACTCACCTGTTCTCATACTGAAATTTTGCCAGTATATCTTTGGCTTTGGTCTGACTGTTCAGCTGAATGGCCATGGACACCTTGGAGAGAAGTGGAGCGTGGACCCTTATGACGCCTTCTGGCACGTCAGACTGCCAGTGAGGAAAAATTAGAATAGTCTGTCAAACTAGGATGAATATTAGTTCAGCGATGCTCTCAGGAAAGGCAAACCAGGGACCCTCAGACTTCAGAAGAAAACAAGCATGCATAACCAATAGTCAGCCAAAATGGAGCTCTGCTTTCTGGTTTACCAGAAGACTAATGACCAAACACAGCCTGAATTTTACTTTGACCATACTCAGCCCTCACTACTAAAATGCCCTGAAATCATGAGGAGTAAAAGTGGATTCAGACAAATGGCTCACGTTTCTGACAAGTATCTAATTCTGACAAATATCTAATGGTATCTTTACTGAATAGTATCAAGCAAAATTAGATAGATGATAGATAGATAGATAGATAGATAGATAGATAGATAGAGTGTGTGTGGTGCTAAATGTGGCATATGTTTGTAGGTATGTGCACATGTGTGTACAGGTAGAGGCCTGGATCAACCTTAGGTATCTTTCTCAATTGTTCTCCCCCTTGTTTTTTGAGACAGGGCCTCTCAAAGAGCCTGAAGCTCACCTATTCTGCTAGACTGGCTGTCCAGCAAACCCCAAGGGATCCTCCAGTTTCTACCTTCCCAGCACTGGGATTACAGATGTGCCACCACACACAACCATACAGTATGTGGGTACTGGGGGTGTGATCTCAGCTCCTCATGCTGTGTGGCAACTTTACTGATTGAATCATCTCCCCAGTCTTTCCTTAAATATACTTTATGAATAACCTTTTGAAAAACATAGTGATCGATTAGAAAATATGGCTTCTCAAATACCCCCTTTCCTTAGTTAGCAGCCACAAAGGGCTAGCACAAATTGAATTCCATATGAGCACTCGAAATTCTGTCCCCTAAGACCATGCAGAGCAGAGTGAGGACTGCTAACAGTGAAAAGGGGTCTGCTTTCACGGTACATTGGTGTGGGAGCCTCTGAGCTTTCATCTAAACGGTATATTCAAAGACTGGGGCGATCTAATGATCAGAAATTTCTGCTTTATTAGAAAGGGAAATTCACTTGTTTCAAGATTTTGAATCTTTTCTCTTTTTTTTTTCGCCCAGCAGGCCTGGAACTTGCTAGTAGACTAGGCTGGTCTTCCACAGAGATCCACTTGTCTCCGGCTCTGGGGTTAAAGAGGTGTGCCCCCATACCAAGCTTCTCAAATTCTGAATCATTTAAAAAGATCTTGGGCTGGTTATATAGATCAGTGGTGGAGTATTTCCCTAGCATATAAGAAGCCCTGGATTTTAACCCAAATAGTATACCTCACACATAAAAAATGATCTAAGAGATGAACAAAGATAAATTTATATTTGTTTGAGGTTGTGGACATGACACAAGTGATTATTTTAAATCTGTGCTTTCTTAAGGGGATGGTATTGGTGATGTACAAGGTGTGTGTGAGTTGACACACCCTAGAGTGGCTATGTTAACTGGTAACGGTAACGCTATGCTGAAATCCTAACAGCCAGGACTCAGAAAGTGACCTTATCTGGAAAGAGAGTCACATGTAAATGTAATTAACAAGAAACAGGTGGCCTCTTACTCTGATAAGAGTCCTTAGAAGAGGACAGAGACAGGGACACACACAGTGAGAACACTGTTGAAAGACAAGAGATTGGAGCACTACATCCACCAATGAAGAAACACCAAAGACTGTTAGCATCACCAAAAGCTTAGCAGAGGGGCCTGGAGCAGATCTTCCCACAATGCTCAGAAGAAACCAGCCATGCCCTGATTGTGATTTGGACTTTAGGCTCCAGAATCTTAAGAGCATAAATTTCTACTATCTTAGCCACCTCATTTATTGTACGTTGTTATGGGAGCCCTAGAAAATGAAAACAGTATCTTAAAATGGGGTCAATTCTAATATTACTTTCTTAATATCACTATCGAGAAATACAGCAGTATGCCAGGGAATGGATGTGGAGGCATTTAAAGTGGGAGGGGACAGAGTCTCCGACTAATTGCAGTCCTATCATTTCAGGATCTTCCTGTCAGAGCATCTCAGAAGCCTCTGTAAGATCAATTTATACTCTGATATCACTGGTCCTATGAAGAGAGCTTCTGGTGACATTCATATCTGTGTACAGGAAGCCTAACTACACACCTTGTATCATCAATGAAAGTTTCTGTATCACTGTTTAATGTACAAACTGCAAACGGCAAGATTATATGATAAATCATGACCCAAATTAGTCAAGAATATAGTGAAACTGGTCACAGAATACCACACAGAGAATTTATAGTTATGGGGGCTGGGCATGATAGCACCTGCCTGTCATCTAAGTATACAGGAAATGAAGGCAAGATCACAAGCTTATGACTAGCCTCAGTTACATAATGAGACCATCTCAAAAAGATGAGGGCTAGAATATAACTTCGGTGGTAGAAGGCCTGCCTGCTTGCCTAGCATGTGCAATGCCTAGTGAACATTCCCAGCATCACACACAAGCCAAAACATTAGAGGGAAAAAAAATGTTTTTCTTACCATTCTTCTTGAAGAGGGTGATTTTTGTAGTACCTTTGAGGTCTTGGGGCTTGTAACCTAAAGAGAACATATTCAGTCTTTCAGATTAACATTGAGAACACAAGGATATACTCTGGTCTGGTATAATCCTATGGAAAGTATTTTGGCAATATTTATAAAATTATAAATTGCACTTGAACCCTCCAATTCCACATCTATATATTCAACTTAAATCCACTTTATTTGTGAACAATGACATATATAGCAGTTTAGTCACTAAAGCACAAATCGTAAGAGAGAAAGAACAGACACTGCTCTAGTTTGGATTCTCTATTGCTGTGACAAACACCAGGAGCAAAAGTAGCTTGGGGAGGAAAGGGTTTATGTGGCATACACATCCTGATCACAGACCATCACCGAGGGAAGTCAGAGCAGGAGCTCCAATAGAACCTGGAGGCAGGAACTGAAGCAGAGACCACTTAGGAAAGCCACTTGCTTACTGGCTTGCTTTCCCCTGGCTTGCTCATATACTCTCCTTATGCATACCTGCCCAGGGATGGCACTGCCCACAGTGAGCTGGACCCTCCTATATCAATTACCAATTAAGAAAATGCTTCAGGGACATGACCACAGGCCAATCTGATGGAGGAAATTCCTCAACTGAGTTTCCCTTTGCCCAGTTCTCTAGTTTGTGTCAAGTTGACAAAAACTAACCAGCGTAGACACCATCTGCCTCCCCCAATTTGGAGATGCCTAAATAAGCTTTTGAATATTCATGGAGGAATATGCAAAAGAAGCAAAGGAGGTAGGGGATACATGCTATTGTTTCTTAAGCTAATAAAGCAAGATGCAGCACTTCGTTTATGCTGCCACTCACATAAAATGGGAAGATTCTATGCAGTCATTATTGGGATCCACAGAGAATTGGTTCCACAATCACCCCCACACACCAAAATCCACTGATACTCAAGTGCCTTGTAGAAAATGGTACAGCGTTTGCACATAGTCTACACATGTTCTCCTGTAATACTTTAAATCATTTCTAGAGTACTCGCAGTACCTAACACACTATAAATTCTATGTAAATAAGTTGCTATATTCTTTAGAGAACAATAATGTAAAAAAAGTCTTTGCATGTTCAGAGCTAACACAACATTTTTTACAGAGTATTTTCAATCTTCAGGGGAGGAACTGTGGATACAGAGGATTGGCTGTGCTCATATATTTGTTATATGGCCACAAAGCTGCTCTTGGAGTGAGCACGGCTGTAAGTCCCACTATACACATGCTCTGCCACTGGTGGTAATATTTTTCTCTAAGAGGGGAAGTCAGAGGTGACTGAATTTTATTCTATAGCTTCTCCAAATCTGTATGACATTTTTTCATTTATTTTGTGTGTAAGTATTTATGCAAGTTAAAGCACATATGTGGAGGTTAGAGGACAACTTGCGGGAGACAATTCTCTCCTTTGACCCTGTGGGTCCTAGAGATATAATTTAGGTTGTCAGGGATGAGTGGCATGCCCCTTTAACTCACTGAGCCATCTTGATGCCCTTTCCAATTTTTTTGAATTTGTAACTTGTTAATTATTTGTTCTAGTCAAGATTAAACATTAAAGTATGACGTATTATGATGGAACTGAAGACTGTTCATCTCTAAGTACTTGCTTTTCTGTGGTAGTCACGACCTCTAAGTCTACAGACCATCAAAGCATTAAAATAACCGACATTCCTACAACAATGTACATTTTTTTTAACTTAAAGTTTATTGAGAATTTCATACACGCACATAAGGTGTGTTGATCAAGTTCACGCCCAGTCCCTCCCTTCCAAAACCTCCCATATCTCCCCATCGCTTTGTTTTGACAACTTCAACTTCATGTACTTTTCTTTCTTTCTTTCTTTCTTTCTTTCTTTCTTTCTTTCTTTCTTTCTTTCTTTCTTTCTTTCTTTCTCTCTCTCTCTCTCTCTCTCTCTCTTTTCTTTCTTTGGGGCTCTTTGCTACTCTAACATTCCCCCCTCTGAAGAGGTAACCCTAAAATCTTTTAGGGATTAGATAAGAGCTCCCAAATACTTTTGACGTTTCTGGCCTTTGGAGCAGAGTATGAGCAACATACATTTTACAATGCATTTTGCACACACTAGGAGAGTTCATCCTAGTGACAATATATTGTCACTTATCTTTGAATTTAAAAGAGCACCAAGCCTCAAAGTATGAATTGGATTTGCCCAGACCCTTCCAACGGACAGCTTGATCTTGGCTTTAGCTCGGTGTGTATCAAACTTTCGTTACTTAAACTTTCCAATGTGAAAATGACAAGAGTAAGAAACTCTGAAAGTGTCCCTTCAAGGAAGTAGCAGACAGTGTTGGTATCAACTTTCTAAGAACGCTGAATGCTCCAAGGCTGTGACCAAGAAGAGTGTGAGGATAAAGAGCAGCTGCGCCCCCAGAAGACCAGCAAGCTGTGCAGTGCTTTATTATCAATGCTGTGTATGGTTTAAAGACACGGTCTCAGTATGTAGCTGGACCAACCTTGAGCTCAGTGTGTAGCCTAGAATGGTCTTGATTTGCAACCCTCCTATCACCATGAGGCCCAGCCTTTGCGGTGTTTTCACTCCCACTTTTCCCATCCTTTTTCCTCAGTCTGTAGATGCACCTGCTGCACATAGCAGCCTGCATCCCTGGCAGAGGTAGAGGGAGAGCAGAATGGGCCTCACTGTCCAAGGATTCCAACTACTTGTGACCTTGTCTAGGAGCTCCCCAGAAGATTGGCTCAGAAAGGCCTACCTTTATGGTCCTAATTTGGCCCTTGCCAGTGCTGAGGGTAAAATGCTAAAAACATTTACAGTCAAGGGTTGCAGACATGGCTGCATAGTACTGCGTGGATTTGGGTTGGTGAAAACAAAACGTAATGGAAAAGGCTGGAGAGTGCGGTGCACTGGGGAATAAACAGGGCGTTGACAAGCTCTTGACATATTCTTAAAGGTCTACAGGACCCATCCAGATACATCCAGAGCTAAAAATATGACCAGGAAAGAACAACAACAGAAAAAGGAGCTTAACCTCCCACTGGCAGCCAACCTCTAGGCTCTGTGCAAGCAGGCAGTGAAGATGCAGGGAGAATCATAAACTGCCTGGTGGAACGCAGTCGCCGAGACCCAACGCACACACATCACACATGGACCGGGAGATGTTTGTGTTTCCAGAAACTGAAGAAAGTCTTTGTCTAATTTTTATCTAATCATTAAGCTAATGAAATAGAGGCATTTGATAGTCCAATAGTCACACGACGCAAAGAATATAGACTTTGCAAACTGAGTTCAGTAGAAGACACTAAATAAACAAGTACAACAAACAATACCCAATAAGCTCTGGAGGGGAGGATTGGGGAGGGGGAGGGAGAGGGA